AGGATGGTGCTGACTATCACTCCCTGGCCAGTTTAGGGTTCCGTGAGATTTGCCTGTAGGGGAGACTGAAGTGTGGGATGATCTTAGGCAAAGGCCCAAGAGGGGCTTCCAGGAGAGCTTCTGTAGTGGGGCTGGCCTAACCCTCAGCTCACTGTTCTGTTTCTGGTGAACTGGTCCTGCCCTGTTTTTTTCTACCACTTGACTTCCAGCTTTTCCCTGGGCATCATTTAAATCTAGCCCAGATCATGGGCCATTGTGCTGGTTTTGTGGGCTCAGGAACTGGAAAATATGATTGAAGATGGCCTCAAAAAGAATAGCATGGGTACATTTTTCTGAATGGGGTGGAGAGATCACTTAAACCAACTGTTGGTGAGTCCTTGCCTTCACTTTTATTGAAGGAATGGCTTTTATATGCTGGTGACATTTCTTTATAGCTCTGGTAAATGGATCTGTATTTGGCTGCTCGGTGTTGTTTCCTATCTCAGCCTCTCCTAATAGGTCCTAAAGGAACACTCCAGGCAGAGGGAATTAGACCCCAGTTAGTACGTCAGTAAGGAGGGCAGGAGGTATAGGGGGTGATATTTCAGAGAGCAAGTGCTTCCTGTCCCTCGCCTCTTCCAGCCTGCCCCCAACCCCATACAGGCACCCATATTGAGCGCCTGTCTGTTCCCCCAACCCAGCTGTGTTTTCTCTGACCCGGTGCTGCAGGGCACTGAGATTGACATCTTCAGCTATAAGCCCACACTGCTCACCTCCAAAACCCTGGAGAAGATCCGCCCAGTGCTCGACTACCGCTGCATGGTGTCTGGCAGTGAGCAGAAGTTTCTCATTGGCCTGGGGGTAAGTCTGCAGCCTGCTTCCTATTCAGCTTTGGGTGGCGGAATCTTACCCTCTGTCTGTAGGAATCGGGACAGCTGCCTGCCACACTCAGTGCATGTTCTGTTGGCATCAAGCAACTGGGGCTTTGACCCCGGTGAAGGTATTTCTTACAACTTTACTTCCTTTCTTCCTCTGAGTTAGCCAGTTGTCATTCATTCATTCTTCTATTTATTTATTTGCTTATTCATTTCTGTACATTGCTAAAGGGAATATTGCCTCTTTTCTTGTTATGTGGAGCTTCCTAGGCTAGTAGGATGGTCAGCAGGCTAATTTGGCTTGAGTCCATGCAGCCATTTCTTTGCAACACCACCACCATCCATGTCATCCTTTCTAGCAAAGACACTACCTATCCTTACTCTGGGGCCCTTGGAGTCTAAAACAAGGTGAGGGAAAGCCTTGGCAGTTCTATGTGTTATTTAATTGGGTAAAGTCATCGTTGCTCTTTTTTTCTACTCTGACTTGTCTTTCTATATAATTTTATTTCTTCTTCCTCACTTACTTTCTATGTGTCCTCTCATACTTTATCTTTTTCTCATTTTTACTTTTTCTCTCCTGTTCTGCTCTCTGGACCTTTCACCAAACCCACCTCAGACATATACACCAAACTGGATCTTTCTCGAAGGCACTAATCGTGGACTTAGGCTTATTGAATGGTGCCCTTGTCTGTTCCCTACCATGGGACCAAGCTGGATCTCTACTTCTCTTCCGCTAAGGCAGTGGAGGACAGCACTATCGTTATCACGGAAGTATAGCCGACTGATCGCTCCTAGACATTTCCTTCTGACATTTCCCAGTCCTATCAGCTTGTAGCCACCAACCGAAAGCCCTTTTGAGAACTGAGTCTCTCACCCCTCAGTCTCCATGTTTGCCTGACCTAGCCTTTTCTCTCTGCTTATAGAAATCACAGATCTACACGTGGGATGGCCGCCAGTCAGACCGCTGGGTCAAGCTGGACCTGAAGACAGAGCTACCCCGAGACACTCTGCTATCTGTGGAGATTGTCCATGAGCTGAAAGGGGAGGTCAGAGGTGGTTCTGCTCACGTCTCCTGGCCCTGCCAGCTAGGGACCTGGGGCATAGCTGAGCCTGGCCCTTTTTCCCTCTGAGTTAACTGAGTTACATCGTATGTGGCCCAGGACCAGGGAAAGGCTTTATAATTATTCTTGCTCAAGCAGTTGCTCTAAGCCATGGTACATTCAGGTAGGAAGGACCGCGGTTTGTGTGTGTGAAGGAGGAGACCTCTAGCATCTCTGTGCACCCAGGGCCCTGGTGGCCCTGCTGGGTGTTTTTAGTGCTGGTTTAGTTTATGACCAGAGATCCCTTGGGAAAGAAGCAACTTGTTATTTCCCATAGCTTTGAGTATTACAGCTATACAGATGATTTTATAATAGTCAGTGGGAACAGTTGGCAAGAGTGGGAAGCCATGCTCTTGGCTGGAGCACCATGGCGAGAGCCTCATTGGGTTTGAGGTTCACGGGGTGCTTATCACCCAAAGCCTCAGATCTCTGCCTGCTCAGAAGCCTGGGCCAGCCTGGTGCTAAGAATCAGCTGGGAGAGAGACAAAAGAAATACCTTGTGTTTAGAGCCCTTCCCTTCTCCTGGCTATAGGTAGAGTGGGGGCCAGCATGCCATGGTGGGCAGAGTAGGCAGCATACTTGTCTTTCTAGGGAAAGGCCCAGCGGAAGATTAGTGCGATCCACATCCTTGATGTCCTCGTGCTGAATGGCAGTGACGTGCGGGAGCAGCACTTTAACCAGCGGTCTGACCTGGGCCCTGGGGGAGGGAGGTGGGGTAGGCCAGGTCAGCCCTGTGGCAGCAGCCTCTGAGGGTTGGCCCCTCAGCCAGGCCTTCTCTGCTTACAGATTTCCATAGTGTTTCCCTCTTCCACCTATGGGCTGGTTTCAGGGGCGGGGTAAGATATTAGTGTTGGCACTTCAGACTTTGCCAGGGCTTGGGCTTTGATGATCATAGATACCAGCACAATCCCATTTTGTCACAGCCGTTCAGATCACAGATGATGTTTATGTTAAGGTTGAGCAAGAGGGTGACCTTACGGGGAGAAGCACATGTTGTGCTTGGCTGGTTGGTCCTATTTGTCAGTTCATCTGGATTCCACAATTACCACAAAGGCACTTTTGTTGGTGGGTGGATGCCTAGTTGTTAAAAGGAGGGACATCTTGCACTGCCACATTGCTGATGTCACTTCTGAATTGGTTCATCTGAGTGGGTGGACTGTTGGATCTGTGGTTTGGGGTAATGAAGTAGACACAGTAAAGATGATATTAAAGCTCTAGTAGACTGCCTGAGCACAGCTGAAGGCACACTTCAGAAAAACCAATGAAGATGTAGTGAGATTAGAGGTCAGAATTCAGAGAGAGAGAGAAGGCATGCATAAAGACTTCAGTGGAGAAAGGCAGGTTGGGTTTCTTGGGGGCCGTGAGTGCTGCCCCTTGGAGCAGTTTTGCTGTAGATCCCAGAGTGTTCTCTTATTGGTGCTGTGAAAATGCTCCGGGCAAGGATGCTGGTGGAGGCACCCTTGCTTGTATCTGAGAGACTCTGTTTGGATCGTAGAATTCAGCTTGCTGAGAAATTTGTGAAAGCTGTTTCCAAGCCTAGTCGGCCTGACATGAATCCCATCAGGTGAGTATATCATCTCTTCCTCTCAAATCTCCCTTCCTTGTTGCTTCTTTCTGACCAATGTTGGCTTCCCTGTCCTGTGGGGGATGGGAGTGCTCAGTGAAGGAGACCCAGCAAGGTTGGTGTTAGAGATAAGACTGCCCTTGATGAGTGATTTGTTTGGGAGTGCTAGGTAGGTAGGTAGCTCCTTTACCCCAGAGTAACTCCTCATCCTGCTGGTCACAGTGGGCCAGCCTCCACAGGAGATTTATTTGTAGGGGTTAAGGTATCCTCATGAAAGATGTGTGTGCTTCTGAGAGCACTCACACACCTCTGTGAGTCACACATTCATACTTGTGTCTCATTAGCAAATCACTTGGCTTTTTCATTTTTTTAGGTAAGAAAAGAGTGCTGAGGGGATGGAAATTTTTGAAGATGAGAAAGAGAAGGATAGAGGAGGATAGTTTGAAGGAGTGGGAACCTTGGTGCTTGGGAAGAAGGTTAGGGTTTGCTGCCATGTTAAATTTCATGAAGGAGGAGAGAACAGTCAGGGAACAGACAGAGCAGATGTTTCCATGCTAGGCCAAGGTCTGAGGTTATTATCTCTGGAGCTTCATTTTACTAGAGACTGAGGTGTCTATTTATACTTTATCAAAATCATTCTTATTCTTTTTAATATAAATTTACTTAGTTAAAATCAAATCCAGTACTGAGAATGCACTTTATAAATGTCTTCTAAAAGTCCAAAAACAGTTTTTTCCCATACTTGAAAATGTCCTGTCTGCCTGGGCCTGAGAGGCAGCTCCCAGGGACCCTGTCTCTATTGCTTGTGGTCTGGTTGCTGGGTCTCTGGGGACCTTCCCCAGTAGCAATTCCCAGGGCGTGTTCAAGAGCCTCCAGAAGTGAAGGGCTGGGCATCAAACAGTAGCCCTGCATCCTGCGTAGGCATCCCCCCGCCCTCTATGGTAACAGGCCTATTAGGACTATTTGGAAGTAACTTGTGCTCCAGGAGGGCCTAAAATCCACATAGTCTGACGTGGGCAAGAGTCTGGACCTTGGCGTTCTGGTCTCTGTTAACGGTGATGACAAACTGGGGTGGGAATGCTGACAAGAGACATCTTTGTCTGCCTGCCCTTCTCTCCCTCCCCTTTTCCATAACCACAGTCATCCTGCAGCCAGCCCAAGGGGGTGCTTGGCAGCTCTGAAATGTAGGGCTTGTCTGTGTATGACAGCTGTGTGGCAGAAAGGCTGGGGGTCCACATTCTTGAAAGGTTGGGTGGTGCGGGGGCCTGGGGTAGAGGGCAAGCACAGGCACAGCCTCCTGCCTACCAGCTGCTTCCTGGACAGGAGCATCTCCCCAGGAAGCCTTTGTCCTCTGTCTCTCTACCTGCAGGGTGAAGGAGGTGTACAGGCTGGAGGAGATGGAGAAGATTTTTGTCAGGTGAATGACTCAACCAGGGTAGCTCAGGATTTGAGAAGAGTTGGAGCGGGGGACATGGCAGTATCCAGGATTCGTTGTTTTTTGTAGAGATGGTTTGGGGTGAGCAGTGAGTTGGCCCTGGCGGGCTGCCTATACCTCCCACCTCCCTTGCCTCGGTGTAGTGCGGCTCCACTGCAGCCAAGAGCCCCCCGGCTGAGAGCTGATTCAGCACCCTGTCAGGAGGGAAGCAGGCGGGTGTGTGTCAGGCAGAAATACGGGCTCATTGATGCTGTAATAGTCACAATTGTCCCTGTGAGGGGTAGAGCAGCAAGCTGCTTGAAACACTATAAATCCCAGCTCCTGGTGCTGACAGAGAGATTGAGCCTGGAGGGGCAGAGGGGGCATAACTGCTTCCTCAGATTCTTAGTGGTGTTGGGGGTGCTCAGTCAGATCTGTGGATCTCATCTGTCATCCTGGGTGTGCCCCTTGCTGTGGCATGGAGTCTCAGTGCTCTTGTGTTAACTCTTTACTGGCCCCAATGATGTTATGGGTAGTGGACCTGGTGGCACCTGTGGTGTCAGATCTTACCTTTACTGGTGTCACTTTGAAACACCCCAAACACCACAAAATATCTGTCACTCCCCTGCCTCCATTACTTAGTTGGGAGTTCAGAGCCTGAGTTCTGAACCTAGCACTGCACTCATTCACTTGCAGTGTGGCTTGGAGCAGCTCACTTATGTCTGCCTCAGTTTCTTACATTGATTTGAGATAAAATACTGTGATTGGTGTGATTTCAATATTAGCCAGAGACTAATGTTAGGGCTTTCTCTCTCATGCACACACTTACACTTCCTGTTTGCACACCTCCTCGGGGAAATCAGGTTAGAAATGAAGATCATCAAGGGCTCCAGTGGCATACCGAAGCTCAGCTACACAGGACGGGACGACCGGCACTTTGTGCCCACTGGCCTCTACATCGTCAGGACAGTGAATGGTGGGTGATGAGTGATTGTTCCCTGCCCTGCATCCCTCCATCAGAGTGATTGGCCCAGACCAAGTGGGTAGCAGCCAGGCTGGCATTTCTTTGAGGTCTATGCTGGGGAGTATTGTGTTCTCTGAGCCTTTTCTGTTCTTTGGTGGATGCTGGGGGTTAGGTTGGGGCTAGGGAGAGAGGGCCCCAATTTGTGTATGCATGCATGGTGTTCTCATGGTGGGAAGAGGACCTTCTCAGTGGGCAGCAGCAGGTCCAGAAAGTCAAAGTTGGCCATTTGCATCCCCCGTAGAATCCCTTTTCTTCAGTGCCCTCTAGTTAACAGAGTCCTGCTGCCTCTGCCAGGGACCCAGAGATGTTGCCCTGGTGGCAAGTTGGCAGGACTGGGCAGGGTTGTTGAGAATTATCTTAGTCGTCCTTCTGGAACCCCTTTGGGCTGGTGATGAAGGTTGCATCTGTTCTCTGCCTGAACTTTGATGGGGAGGGGACTGGAAGAACGGGAATGGGAAAAGGCACACCCCTACGTTGGCCTGACCTGTTCCCCCATGGGCTTCTTCCCTTCTTCCTCCTGTCAGAGCCATGGACTATGGGATTCAGCAAAAGCTTCAAGAGGAAGTTCTTCTACAACAAGAAAACCAAGCTCTCTACCTTTGACCTCCCTGCAGACTCCATTGCCCCATTTCAGTAAGTAGCCCTCCTCTAGGCTTGCCCCCTCTGCAGCCCCAAGTATTCCTGCCAGGATGCTAGCCAGCCCTTTGGGGCACACCCCAGGTCCTGAAACTAATTGCTGCCCACGCAGGGGCTCCCCTGAGCAAGGGTGGGGATGGCGGCCCCCATCCAGTGTGTGGCTGGGCCTGGATAATAAGCTCAGTGATAAGAGAGTGATGCCAAGACCTGCTGTGATGGTTGGGGGCCCTGGGTGTGAAGGGCCTCGCCTAGGCTGGGCATCTGCCCCACAGGGCAGCCACTGTTTACATGACTTTCTGACCCTGGCCTGGTGGTAGGAGCATGTTGAGTGTCCACAGTCCTGCCCCTTGGGACTCGGGGTCCCAGCTATCCCTTGGTCAGGACTCAGTGTCTTTTTGCTAGATTGTTGGTCATAGGTTCCAATGGCCCCCAGTAGCCCTAATGTACCTATAATTAGTCACTGACACTAGTGTCTGTCACTACCTTAATACTCTTCTATATGAACAGCAGACAGATAAACCAGGAGTATCAGTAATTGTAGAAATCCAGTTGGACTCAGTAGCAGCAGCTGTTTGTTGGGAAAAGCTGGTTCTAGAAGGCAGGGAGGAGGAGCTGAGGCCTTCTGGGTTTTTGGCTGCCAGAGTGAAGACTCTCAAGTGGAGTCACTGACAGGACCCCCTACCCCCTGACTCTTTTAAGAACACTCATCTCCTAAGCCAGTTGTCAGGGTTTGGGTGGTGATCTCTCGGTCCTGCTCCACTGGGTGCAGCCCTCTGATTTCCTTTCTCCTCCCCAGCATCTGCTACTATGGCCGTCTCTTCTGGGAGTGGGGGGATGGCATCCGTGTACATGACTCCCAGAAGCCCCAAGACCCGGACAAGCTGTCCAAGGAGGATGTCCTGTCCTTCATCCAGACACACAGCGCCTGAGGGTCTGAGAACACCCATTTTTTTTTTCTCTCGTTCTGAGTCAGGGTGCTCTGCCTGGGGGCCCACAGTACTGGTTTCTTCCCCCTCTCAAAGGGACAGGGGAGCACAGTCACCATAGTTTGGCCATGAAGGGTGGGTGATTTCTTCTCCATCTCCCCTGAAGAGCTCAGTCTGGGGCCTTCAGAGGACACTCATGTCCCTTCTGGAACACTTTTAGACTTCCCTCCTCGGAGACCTGCCTGGGAACTCTCTCTCCTGCCAGGACTCAGCCTGAAAGATGCTGCTCTCACGGCGGGTTTGAGATCAGGGCCCAGGCCACATGGGGCCGGTGGAGGACATGCAGAGCGCAGCAGGGCTTTGGCTCTGCGATTCTCTCCTGTATCCTGTAGACTCACTTTTCTGAGTTCCATGCGCTGCCCTGAGGGCAGCCATGCCCTTGCTTTGCCCAGCTTTTTACTGGGCCAACCTGAGTGGGTAAAGACCCACCGTCGTGAGCTGGCCAGGAGCAGCTACTGTACAAATCAAAGTTTTGTTTCTTTGAACTTATTCTGTTTTGATGCCAAGTTGGCGAATCCCTACCCTACCCTGTCCTGGTCTTCTCTGGAGTTCTCAGCCTGGATCTCTGACAGTCCCGCAGGCCGGGAAGGGAGGTGTGTGGGCCCCACATTCCTGACATCACATCAGGATGCAGGTAGCACTGTCTGGTAGTGGATGTGACTGCCTCGTGGGCCTCGACCCCTTTTGACCTAAACCTTGGGCAGCTCTAGAAGAGGAGGAAGCACCCTTGAAGACCTGCCTTTTTCTGTGTCCCAGCAGCAGTGGCCCCACTGCAACAGAGGGTACCTCCAGGGTTGGGTCATACCCAGCCCTCTGGCAATCATGGCACTCTTATTTGCCACAGCCACCTTGCTACCCTTCCCCACAACCCTGTTTTTCTTCTCTAATAGGGGGTACAGTCACGTGTCATTTTGTGGTCACTCCATTTCCTCTATCTTGGTGGAAGCAGAAGTGGGAAAGCTGGGCAGTAGCTTTGGGTGGGGGAGGGCACCTGTGGTTCTTAATGGGAAATACCTCTCAGAGATGCTTATACAGGCTCCCTAGGGCCCCATCCTAGTGCTAGGCTGGTTTCCATGGAGATAGATAGGGCACTAAAGCTCCCTGTGAGGTTGGAATTGACTCCACCTGTGGGGGGGGTCTCCAGCCAATATCCAGTCTTAGCACCCCCTTCCCCGCCTCCTCCCTGGGTTGGCAGCAGCACCACTGAAATGCTGTATTTCCACCCATTTCTGGGTATATCAGTGTGTCTTGCAGAATCTTGGATCATTAAAGATAAACATATTTTTAATGTCTGTGTGGCTCTACTGGGGCTGCTGCTGGTTGTCCTGGGTACTTTGTGGTCTGGGACTGGCTTGGATAAAACACCTTGGGCTGAAGGGGAAAAAGCTGTACTCGAAGAAGGAAGAGAGGGTTTAATCAGAGGCTTGTCTAAGCTCAGGGCTCCCAGGGCTGCTGCTTGCTGCCAGAGACGGGGCCCAAGGAAGTTGAGAAATTATGCGGCTCCCGTTAGAAGCTGGAACTGGAGAATGAATGAACCTACAGCCCAGCAGGGCAGGGAGGCACTCTCCCCCATACATAAATCACACAGCTCACTCCGTGGTGGTACCTTGACAATCCAGGATCAGTCTGTGTGACTAAAATAACAGAGGTGTCAGACCAATTAGTGCCAA